TGAGTATTATTACAGTAAAACATTGAGTATTATTACAGTAAAACATTGAGTATTATTACAGTAAAACATTGAGTATTATTACAGTAAAACTAACTATCATTACAATAAAAACTGAGTATCACAGTAAAACATCGAGTATTATTACAGTAAAACATTGAGGAGTATTACAGTAAAACATTGAGTATTATTACAGTAAAACTAACTATCATTACAATAAAAACTGAGTATCACAGTAAAACATCGAGTATTATTACAGTAAAAAGTGAGTATTATTACAGTAAAATATTTAGTATTATTACAATAGGTATTTCGAAGCTTTAAGACAGCAAATGAAAAATTTCTATCAGAATTGTTTTGATGAGTTTTTAGCCCAAAGCTACACAACGGACTATCTGCGCCCTGTCCAACGCAGTAAATGGAAATCCGGATTTCAGATTTGTAAGTCCGGAATTTACCATTAATTCACAGAAGGACTAACGATAAAGGAACAAAGCTAATTTGACCTGATGTGATAAGAAAAATATAATGTTATTAGTTTTGAACATATATATATATAAATTATTTTAGGGGTTTTAGAATAACTGAATAGTTATGATCGGATCACAGTACAAGTGTTTTCTTATTAATAATGTATATATGTGTGTGTGTGTGTGCTTGCAACCTGGAATACGTATATTTTTATTCTATATATGACAGACAAAACTTAAGGTTTATAAAAGTGCTTTGGAACAGCCTTTTTTTTTCTGGCATTGTTCTAACTAAATTTTTCTGTTTTTTTTTTTTTTACTTGCTATTTTTTGCTTATAAAACACTTTCTCATATACAGTAATGATACAGGTTCTGGTTTCGGTATTGCTGTATTATGATAATACTATGTTTCTGGAAGTTCTTATCTCAGGGCCTAATAATAATCAATTCCAACAAAACAGAAATAATTCAGTTCGCACCAGACCTCAAGGCTTCTTCTTAGAACACCTAGAAGACTTAGAAACACATCTGGGTGTGATAGAATATACTAGAAACTCTTCCATAAGGAAAGATAATTATATCCGAGTAACGTTCGTTTCGGTAGATACATTTAAAATTTTCCACTTACAAGAAATAACGCAAGTTGCTCGGCTTTCCAATTACCTCAAGAAAACATTTTAAGTTTTAAGTTTTTGTTGATTGAAAAGTTGAACAGCTCTCATCCGTCCCCCTTTTAGTGGTGTAAGACGCCAGAGATGAACAAATATTACACCAATAATGCATTATTCATCATTATTCATGTTTTAGCGACGAAAATTAAAACATACGAGTACAATATTAAAATATTATTTAAAAGTTCAATGGCGCTTTGTTCGTACTTATAAAAAGGCAGAATGGTAATACAGTATGAATATTTATTCCCCATTTTTTTCTTGTTTGTTGAAGTATGAATATTTATTCCCCATTTTTCTCGCATCCTTAATTTTCAAGTGATAGAAATGGGGAAGACAGATTGTCAACACCACTAACCGCCAACTCTTGGGCTACTTTTTACCAGCGAAAAGTGGAATTGACCATCACGTTACAATGCCCTCAAGACTGAAATAGCTAGTATGTTCAGTAACTGGATTCGAACACGCGGCCCATAAGTTGCGAATCGAATGCCCTAACCAAGAGGTCATACCAATCCGTATTCCCCAATCACACAAAGCAACACGAGGGATATCTGCGCTAGCCGTCCCTAATTTAGTAGTGAAATATTCGAGGGAAGGCAGCTAGTCATCACCACCCAACACCAACTCTTGGGCTTTTACCAACGAATAGTGGGATTGACCGTCACATTATAACACCCCCGCGGCTGAAATGGCGAGAATATTTGGTGACACGGGATTCGAACTCGCGACCCTGAGATTCTTGGTCAATTCTCAAAGAGTTAAGTCACTTTGTATGTATGTTTCAAAGTTTGTTTAGAAATATCACAAAATAACAGCGCTGGCGTTACAAATCACCATTTGAGAATAATTTTTGTTTAATTCTACAGAAACACCTTAACGAGTTTGTTAAATTTCGCACAAAGCTATTCGGAGCTTATCTGCTCTTGAGATACTTAATTGTTAAGTGATAAACTTGGAGGAAAGCAGCTACCACATACCACTAATCTTGGGTTACTCTTGTTAGAACGATCAATAGGATTTGTCTGTCACTGTTATAACACCCCTACGGAGTGCTGGTTTTGTTGTTGTTGTTTTGGCGGTAACGTGGTACGTCTGCAGACTTACAACGCTAGGAACCGGGTTTCGATAGTCGTGGTGGGCAGAGCATGGATAGCCCATTGTGCAGCTTTGTTCTTAACGTAAACAAACAGATAGATAGATTAACAATCCAACACGCTAACCACTCAGCCCTCGCGTTTCCAACGCAAAAAGCCACCATCTTTGTTATATCAAAAGCTTTATCACTTGAGTGTTAAGGTGTGAAAACGCCCACAAAGGAGTCAAAATTGGCGCCTAACTTGTCTGGCATGCGTAACTGCGGTAAATAAAGAAGACGAAGATATACAGTCGTTCTATTGTTTCTACACATGTGATCAAAATTATACAGTAACAGTAATATACGAAAAGGTCGATACGTCCTTAAACAATGGCGACAAAAAAAATTGGTTTGTTTGGTTTGTAATAGATTTCGCGCAAAGCTACACAAGGGCTATCTGCGCTAGCCGTCCCTAGTTTAGCAGTGTAAGACTAGAGGGAAGACGGCTAGTCATCACCACCCACCGCCAACTCTTGTGCTACTCTTTTACCAACGAATAGTGGGATTGATCGTCACGTTATAACGCCCCCACGGCTGAAAGGACGATCATGTCTGGTGCGAAGGGGGATTCAGATTGCGAGTCGAGCGCACTAACCACCTAGCCATGCCGGGCAACAACAACAAAATAATAATCATTAAGAAAAATAAAATAAAACGAGAAAATAATGTTTGATCTTTGGTGCAAAACAAAAGTACGTCACAGTTTTTATCAGCTAAATATTAAAACAACAGATGAAACAATTTATCAAGTTCGTGGCCAAAAATGTAAAAACTAACAATAACAGTCATTTTTATTTTACAGTATTCCAACATAAGTTTTAACTACCAAATTACCGACTTGTCTTTATAAGTTCTCTACAGATTTCATCCACATATTGCATCATTTTAACCACTCGCACCAATTATACAGTAGTGTGTTGTCTGTCAGTCAGTTGACGCTAAAATGACGTCAAATAAGGGACACTTAACGTTGCAAGTTGTACTGATATATGAATTTAAAAAGCAAGAAGTAAAAAATTTCTTACTGTAAATCTTGGTTTTATTTACTTTTGAAACAAAACATCTAGTATACTTATCTTTTGCATCTTACATCACCCAGTGTAAAGCACTGACCACAAACATTTGACAATCAATCCTTTTCAATATATATATATATATATATATAAAATGTACTGGCAACTCAAGCAGTAATTAGTAGAATTAACTCTGGCAACCCAAGCAGTAATTAGTAGAATTTAACTCTGGCAACTCAAGCAGTAATTAGTAGAATTTAACTCTGGCAACTCAAGCAGTAATTAGTAGAATTTAACTCTGGCAACTCAAGCAGTAATTAGTAGAATTAACTCTGGCAACTCAAGCAGTAATTAGTAGAATTTAACTCTGGCAACTCAAGCAGTAATTAGTAGAATTTAACTCTGGCAACTCAAGCAGTAATTGGTAGAATTAACTCTGGCAACTCAAGCAGTAATTAGTAGAATTAACTCTGGCAACCCAAGCAGTAATTAGTAGAATTAACTCTGGCAACCCAAGCAGTAATTAGTAGAATTTAACTCTGGCAACCCAAGCAGTAATTAGTAGAATTTAACTCTGGCAACCCAAGCAGTAATTAGTAGAATTACCTCTGGCAGCCCAAGCAGTAATTAGTAGAATTAACTCTGGCAACCCAAGCAGTAATTAGTAGAATTTAACTCTGGCAACTCAAGCAGTAATTGGTAGAATTTAACTCTGGCAACCCAAGCAGTAATTAGTAGAATTAACTCTGGCAACCCAAGCAGTAATTAGTAGAATTAACTCTGGCAACTCAAGCAGTAATTAGTAGAATTAATTGCAGGACTGATGCTATTTCTCATGCGTTATTAGGGACCAGGTAAGCAGTTAAATTATGGTTCTACAAGTAATTTCGCGCATTAATAATTCAGTACAATGGAGTTTAAAAACAGAGGGGGTACATATGGATATCGAGGGGGTAAATATGGATATCGAGGGGGTACGTATGGATATCGAGGGGATACATATGGATATCGAGGGGGTACATATGGATATCGAGGGGGTACATATGGATATCGAGGGGGTACATATGGATATAATTGGTAATTTTAAGGTTAGAATGTAACAGTTTTCTAAAAAGTTATAAAGGAAGCTGTAATTCAAAAATATGTATTGTTCTAACCATATGATATCGGTAGATATTACACAGATATACACAAATAACCCTTAATTTGTTAAGGTATGAGGTCCAGACATGAACTAATATTTAACGTGCTGGGCTGCGACTCGACAGATCCAAGGTTCGAGTCGTAATATGCCACAGAATATACTCCGCACTTTGGGCTGTGTGAATGTTGTAATTGTGAAAGTCTATTCTAAATAGGCGGCAGGTGCTGCGGGCTGATTCTTCTCCTTCTGATGAACGATGGCTATGTTTACAATTTTCAGGTGTTTCTGACCTTATTGATTTGCTTGTTACACAGACTGCCACTCGGGTTGGTAACAGAAAATATCCAGTCATGCAGGAGCCTATACTGTAATGGTTGAGAGAAGCACATGAATCTTTAGCAATATAACAAGAAGTATAATGAACATCCTTCTGACACCATCAAATCCAAGTTTAAAATATATGATGAATGAGTAATTGTCCTAAGTCTGTTGTGTTCAGTGGAACCAGTTTTGTAAACAGCCTTCTCAAATTATATGATTAACCTGTTCTGAGGGCAGCGTGTCTTGAAAGCAAATAGCCTAATTGTCTACAAGGAAAATTTGACTTTCTTGTTAATTAGACTTTGCGATTACAATAAAACTACTTCCAAACGTCTAGCTTGAAGGAAACTCTCTGAACGAAGTACATATGTCACGGTTACATCCAGATCTTTCCTCTGCAGGAAAACCACACAGGTTTCACTGGAATTCCAATGGAATCAACAAGCAAACAAACATGAAGTTTGGAGCTCGTGCCCTTGGAAAGCTCTGATTTAATTAACAAGTGAGCCACCCGGTTAGTAAATGGAACGCCAAGTTTTATTACTCTTTAACACAAGGAGCAGTGAAAAAAACGAACGAAGACCTCTAAGTGAGCTAATAGTGACAAGCTTCGTGATGATAGAGACAAGCTTCCCGATGAAGAGACAATCTTCGTGATGATAGAGACAAGCTTCCCGATGAAGAGACAATCTTCGTGATGATAGAGACAAGCTTCGTGATGATAGAGACAATCTTCGTGATGATAGAGACAATCTTCGTGATGATAGAGACAATCTTCGTGATGATAGAGACAATCTTCGTGATGATAGAGACAATCTTCGTGATGAAAGAGACAAGCTTCATGATGAAAGAGACAATCCTCGTGATGAAAGAGACAATCTTCGTGATGAAATAGACAAGCTTCGTGATGATAGAGACAAGCTTCGTGATGATAGAGACAAGCTTCGTGATGAAATATTCTTATTCCCACTCCTCCTTTCTGGATTAATTATGCATTAGATGTAGTTGCTCTGAGTCTGTATTAACTTATCTCGCTTTGTCAGAGCTAATTTCCAGCGGAAAACCTACGATGTATTGTTTTTGCAATTGAGGATTGAAAGATAAGACTGTTTGACGTAATTATGACCAACATATGATCTAAAACTCCAAAATTTTCTGTTGCTAAGATTGTGGTCAGGTTTTATCATATCTTAACTTCAGTATTTGTCAGAACTAATCTCGGAGAACAATTAAACGATTTATGGTGTTCTGAAAGCTCTGGTTAGACTGTTTGATTAATTTCTTTCAGGGGTAACGGTATCTCTGAAAGATGAGGATTTATAAAATTAAAATCGTCATATAATTCTTAATAAATGTCTTAATTAACAAAAAAAAAACTTTTCCTCTTTCAGAAAAAGGAAAAATCAGAACTGTTACAAGAATATTGGATGTTCATAACGGACGGTTTAAGTTAATTAACATGAAATTAGAAGGTGAACTTTCATTATGTTTTAACGAAATATTTGGTGACACACTACTAGTTTTTAAGTAATAAGCACCACACCTACTGATTCTTACAACATAAGCAACGTAAGTATTAATACGTTTATAAGACGCACCGTATGCAGGAACGTCTAGAGCCAGCACGGGCTCCCTTTCTCTCTCTTTTTTAACATTTTTAAGAACTTGTTCTAAGCACCACACCTACTGATTCTTACAACATAAGCAACGTAAGTATTAATACGTTTATAAGACGCACCGTATGCAGGAATGTCGAGAGCCAGCACGGGCTCCCTTTCTCTCTCTTTTTTAACATTTTTAAGAACTTGTTTAAAAGAAGATCCTAAATTATGACAACAACGAGCTCATAAATAAGGCAAAGTCATAGCAGCAGCCATTTTTAGCTCACAGTACAAGCATAAACTCGTTAATAAAGTAACAACAAATATCTATTAAATCTTTACGGCATGACCAGGTTTCGATCGCCCGGGCCCCTGGGCAGTTGCCACCTTTGCCCCCACTGCCTATTACTTAATACAGGCAACGAACCACTGCCTATTACTTAATACAGGCAACAAACCACTGTCTATTACTTGATACAGGCAACGAACCACTGCCTATTACTTAATACAGGCAACGAAACACTGCCTATTACTTAATACAGGCAACGGACCATTGTATATTACTTAATACAGGCAACGAAACACTGTCTATTACTTAATACAGGCAACGAAACACTGTCTATTACTTAATACAGGCAACGAACAACTGTATATTACTTAATACAGACAACGAACCACTGTCTATTACTTAATACAGACAACGAACAACTGTCTATTACTTAATACAGGCAACGAAACACTGTCTATTACTTAATACAGATAACGAACCACTGCCTATTACTTAATACAGACAACGAACCACTGCCTATTACTTAATACAGGCAACGAACCACTGTCTATTACTTAATACAGGCAACGAACCACTGTCTATTACTTAATACAGGCAACGAACCACTGCCTATTACTTAATACAGGCAACAAACCACTGTCTATTACTTAATACAGACAACGAACCTCTGCCTATTACTTAATACAGGCAACGGACCATTGTATATTACTTAATACAGGCGACGAACCACTGTCTATTACTTAATACAGACAACGAACCACTGCCTATTACTTAATACAGGCAACGAACCACTGCCTATTACTTAATACAGACAACGGACCATTGTATATTACTTAATACAGGCAACGAACCACTGCCTATTACTTAATACAGGCAACGAACCACTGTCTATTACTTAATACAGGCAACGAACAACTGTCTATTACCTATCCTCTTTTTTTGCACGTATTTTATAAGTCACTTTTTTTTTCTTGAAACCTTACAAAAATATCATATTAAGGACTTACACACGTCTAGTTCCAAAGACTGAGTTAGTATGCAACATTATTACAAACATTTTCAAATTCTGTGATATCAGAACCGAAGAAAGTGTCGGACGTGTGAAAAGATCACGTATATTCATAGATACACGTCTACACCTCGTACATCATCGTCTCAATTTCCAGATAGTGACAGGTAATTTGTAGCATTTTTTTTTTCTTAGCCACCACCAGGATGAGAGTAGTAAAAAAAATAAATAAACGAACGTGTCACTTTCTTCAATTAGGAAGTTTGATCAAAACAATCCATGAAAATCGAAGT